TTCTTTTGCCTTTTGTGGGGAATGAGGGAAAGGAAAGGAAAGGAAAGGAAAGGAAAGGAAAGGAAAGGAAAGGAAAGGAAAGGAAAGGAAAGGAAGAAAGAAAACGAGAGAGGAAGGAGGGAAGAAAAAAAGGAAGGAAGACAGAGGACAGGACACATTTTGCAGACTCAGACGGTTTCCGTCCCAGCTGGCACTGCGGGTCCCGGAGAGGACAAAGCACTGAATGATGGCACATGACCCTCGAACCCTCTTCCTCGCAACTGAGTGCTACCCCGGCTGTATTGACGGCGGCCAGTCACCGGGTGCCCTATTCAGCCTTTTTTCTGCCGTGCATTCTCCACCTCAGGGCGGCCACGGGAAAGCCGGGCTCTGGGTCCCCGAAAGTGCTCTTACGTAAGGCGAGTGCCTGCGCTTTCCCACGCAGGTCCGCGGGTCAGGGAGGACGGACGGGCCCTTGGGATATGCATTCGGTTGGGCTCCCCCCGTGTTTGAGAACAGTACTGTTGTGCCCGAGTCCTAGTGCTGACGGGAGGGGAGGAAAAACCCGCAACGGCATGAAGCGGGTGCACATGTGACAGTTTGCAGCGGCACTGATGAAGGCTTTCCTAGCGTGACCGTGGCGATGGTCCGCTGATACCTAGCATGGCGGACTTGGGGGGGTAATTTCTACGCTGGAAGAAAAAGGCTTATGTGTAGTCAGTACCTTTTTGGTCTTTTGTTTCAAAGAAAGGAACATCTACGAATGTCTCCTTGTTGCTGTGACAAAGAATTACCAATCATGCAGCTTAAAACCACAGGAATTCATCAAGTCTCTCAGGTCTGGAGACCAGATGTCTGAGATCCAGGCAGGACAGGGATGCTGAGATCCAGGCGGGGCGGGACCACTGGGATCCAGGTGGGGCACAGTCGTGCTCCCTGCTGAGCCTCTTGGAGAGGTCCTTCCTGCCTCTTCCAGCTTCTGGAGCTCCAGGCATCTCTGGGCTCATGGCCACGTCCCTCCCATCTCTGCCTCCATCTCCACGGGCTTCTCCTCTGCATCTCTGTCTCCTCTATGTCTTACAATGCCATTGGATTTAGATCCCATCTGGATCACCATGCGAAGGTCCACTTCTCTGGGCCCACCCGGGTCCTCGTAACTAACTACATTTGCAAGAACCTTGTTTCCAAATAAAGTCCCGTTTTGAGTTCCTGGCGTTGAGGACCATGACGTATGTTTCCAAGGAGACACAAGTCAGCCGAAAACACCGATTTGTCCATCTCTCGAGGGTATGGTGCCTGTTGAGTTAGCTCAGTGTCACACACCTCTCTATGCTTGACACCAAGCAAGTAATTGCCAAGTAGTTGATGGGTGACCGACGTGAGACTTTGAGACGTAAAAACCAGAAAAACAGACGCCCCCTTCACTCAACGAAAAGCCAACCGGTCCCGAGCCAGAGTTCTCTCTTCACGCCAAGCACCGGACATCATGCTTGACTTTGCTCTCTAATGCTAGGGTCAACCCAACCCACGCTGGACCAAAGACGGATGGCCGGATGGTCACCTCCATTCCCTTCACCAGCCGCCTTCGTCCAATTTCCTCTCGGTTTAACGTAACAGGTGGTTTTTGAACCCATGCTTCAGGCCAACCATCCACAGGACACATTGAGTACGCATGAGTCTGGGACTCGGGTTGTCTGGATTTAGATGATTTTTAAAGATTTATTTATTTATTTGAGAGGGAGAGAGAGAGCAGGGGGAACTGTAGAGGGAGAGAAAGAATCTCCTGCAGACTCTGCATTGAGCAGGAAGCCCCACGCAGAGCTTGACCTCACGACTCTGAGATCATGACCTGAGCCAAAATCAAGAGTCAGATACTTAACCGACTGAGCCCCCCAGGTGCCCCCAGGCTGCCTGGCTTTGAATCCTAGCTCTGCCATATGCTAGGGACTACAATTTCTCCAGATCCGCAGAAGGGTCCTCTTGTGATAGGATACAGGTGCCATATTTCCATTGGTTCTCTCTCCAAAGAATGCTTGAAACCACCCCACCCCATGACTGTTGGGTTTGCCCACCTCTGCCTGATGTCACCTCCCCCAGCATGACATCAAAAGCTTTTGTGACCTCCTTGCATCAAACTCAGCCCCCTCTGTAACTAACTCATCTCTTGGGCACTGGTGAGCTTCTCTTCCCAAAAGGACCCCATCTCCCGCCTTCCCTGATTACGGGTGCAATGTGGTTCCCATCAGCCTGCAGAACCGAGATCTTCATACAGCATCCAGGACTAGCAAAGTCAAGACCCGACTGGTCGTTATTTTAATCCTCAAGGGACCCGGCTCAGACCTTATTATCGAAGACGGGACTCAAGAGGTCCACACCTCCTGTTTGCTCTCCTGGAATGTTCTCCCTTCCCTTTCTCTCCATCAAATTTGAACTTGTGCTTGAAGGCCCAACTCCCATGCTTCATGACCGTGATTTTTTGGGGGGGTCGGGGGGAAGGAACAGGTGTAAGATAACTTTCACTAGGTCCTGCCATTTCATTTCACACGGTCATTAGCTCCCTTTCCTACGGGACAAAACGAGACACAAAATACTATGGACCTTGGGCTGCTTTCAACGTTGGCTGTGATACATTTCAATTTGAAATATGAACTATCTGTAAACATAGAGTCGGACAAAGTCCATAAATATCAGGGCAAAGGCTTTATTCTCTATTTTGATGGCCCACAAAGCAATGAATGGGCCCCAGTATCAACTGTGCAACCCCACTGACCTCCAAATGCCACAACCCCATCCCTACATGGACAAGGAATGGTTTAGCAGACAAACTATCCCCCCCAGATGTACGGAATATCATGGGTGCTCTATCAGATGCTGTCACATGACATGCGCTAAGTCACACTCTACGTCGATGAGGAACGAGGCAAATAATGGCTACTCTTCACCTCTGGGGCACTTGTCCTACTTGGCACAGTTGTCTATCTGGGCTGGTATGACAAGAAACCAAGGACTGGGTGGCTCAAACAATAGACACTTATTTCTCACTGTCCTGGAGGCTGGGAGTCTGAGATCCAGGCTGGGCCAGGGCTGGTTCCTCCTGAGGCCGCTCTCCGTAGGACATAGACCCCATGTCTTCCCGTGTCCTCATGTGGTGGACTGAGAGATCTCTGGTTTCTCTTCCTCTTCTCCTCAGGACACAATCCCATCATGGTGCCCACCTTCCTGACCTAATCTCAGTGTAGTCACTCCCAAGGGGGCCATGTCCAATCCCATCCCATTGGAAGATGGGGCTGCGATATATGAATCTTGGGAGGATGCAGACCTTCAGTTGATAACCGTTGGTGGTGTGCATGGCGCCCCCTAGAGTTGTCCCACATAGTGGCCCTGGGCTTCTTTTTTGTACTGAGGGCCTTCAGCCTACAACTTCCTCGGCCCAAACCCTCTGTCCGTCCCATCTTGTGTCCTTCCTTCTCAGCATTTACAGTCCTCTCGAGGCCACTGCCCTCCCCAGAAGAGTTTTCCAACACCCAGCTGAGTTCAGCGCCTGCCAGTCCTCCCCACCTCACCTCCGAGGCCTCGGTGTGCATCCCTGCCTGATGTAATGACCCCCGACCACCGTCTGGCTTAACCTTCGATGTCCCCTCCTCTTTGTCCACAATGATGCATTCCTCGCCACCGCAATCCCGGCACCCAATGTGGGCCTGCTCAGAAGATGTTTGTGTCCCCCGTGTTTGTGGGACGAATGCATGAGCTCGTCCTAAGATCCCCCTGTGGGGACGCAGGGAGCTTGGAACGCACAGATCTGTGGGCAGGGAGCGTCGTCCCCGGCCTCAGGGTTGGCAAAGCTTTGATCTCGGGGCACCTCCCATGCCGGCAGGAAGCAGAGCTGTCGAGCAGGTGTGCCGGCTTCCCGAAGCGGGGAAGGCCGCTTGCTGTCAGGTGGTGCCTGTCTCCCCAATGTGCTGAGCGTCGGCCAGCGAGCCCTGCTCTGGAGAGGCCCGGGACGACCTCCAGCGTGCACACACGGGCCTCGCCCGCCCAGGCTGTGGGGTTTGTCATCTGAGCACGGGCCCCATTAGCTTTTGGCAAAGAGATTGCAGCTCGGTTCAGACTTTCCGCTTGGAACTTGGCCTCCCTTCCTTCCAAGCTGGGAGACAGGAAGTCAACACACGGAGGGTGGGGTTCGGGAGGCCGGATCTCACGCGCCGCTGGGCTGCGGCCGTCAAGGAGGCTCCTTCCTGCTGCCACCAAGGATGGAGAGCTGCTGGGGCCTCTTCTGGGTCACGGTGCTGGGCTTCCTGGCGCATGTGCAAGGTAAGAGCCGACTCGGCCCCGAGGGAGAGCTGCCGTGGGTGCTGTCTGGTTCCTTCTCAAAACTCCTTCCTGAGCAGCTTCTGCTGAAAAACGGGGAGAAGTTGCCAGACGCGATTAGAGGAGACGGGACTGGTGGATTCTGAGAGGGCGGAGGGGAAAGCGGGCTGCTCTGGAGCCCAGAACCCGGACCCAGAACGGCAGAACGGAGGCCCACAGCGCTGGGAAGCAAGCCGCGTTCTCAGCCTTTCCGCTCTGCGTTTCCAACCCGGCGTCCTACTCCGTGATTTAAGCTCAATGCGGGGGCAGAGGGTCTTTTAAAGTCCTTGTTCCCGATGGAAAAGATTAGTTCGGCCAGTTTTCATCGGGTAAACCCAGAGCTGGCACGCGGGTTTGGATTCTGTGCTTCTTGGATAAAGGAGATCCTTCTTGGTTGCAAAAGAAAGTCATGGGAGTTGTTTATGCGGGGAGCTGCCACTGGAGATCGCGGCTGCGTCCCAGATGCAGGGAGGGGTGGGGAGGGGGTGTTTGTTTGTAGGAGGGCCGGGCAAGAGGCTCTCTGGGAACGGTTGGAACCCATGAGATACGGGACTGAAGCAGCCCCTCTGGTCATTTTCGTGGTCTCCTTGCAAGCATGGGGAGGCGGGTGGGATGGAGGGTTGGGACGTGTTGTAGGTTAGGAAGGCAGGATTGTGTTCCCACGTCCCTGTCGTGGTGCGTCCTGTTTTTCCTGTTCGGGGTGTGTCCAGGGACAGGGCGTAGGTTGTCTGGGGGCCTGTGGGAAGGTGAGGGTCAGCGGGCGATCTCACCCGGTGTGCGACACATTCAGGAGCTCCTCTGGGCAGGGACCAGCCAGTCCCCGTATTCATCCTACCAGGAGCTGGAGGGCAGATGCTGGTTTTAACACGGAGCTGCCCAGCTCCAGACCCAGCCCGACCTCTAGGAAAGCACGTCCCAGAGTTGATCTTGTCATTGTGTGGGGACACTGGGAGGCTCAGCGTACCCCTCGGGACAATGAGACCTGCACAGTGCCGTCCATCTGATGCTTCAGGAACGAGGGAGGCAAATTCCTTCAGGAGCCACTCGGTTCCTCGGGCATCGGTGGGAACGTCCGCTGGGTGTTTGGCGGGTGTGCTTGGCGAGGCCGCAGCCCTGGCCCACGGGTACCAAATTCCTTCCGTAACAGCCTCGTGTCCTGTTCCCCACGCATGCATCAGCCTCCCAGCGGATTCTCACGCAGCCCCATGATGGGGCCGTGCTTGCCACCGCCTTATAGATGGGTACACTGAGGCATGGGTTAGGGTTCCATCAGGGACCTCAGGTTCTGCCGTCGGGAAGCAGAAGTGGAAATGAAACTTGCCATGGCCAGCTTGTGGTTTGGGTCTGTCGAGAAAGAAGGAAGTACCTATCTTTATGCATGTTTCTCCCCTAAACATAGAGTATCTTGTATATATGTTATTATAATGTATTATTATCTTACTGTGCTGCACCCAGCTCTGCGGGGCGTTGTGGTTGGCTGATACGTGGAGAGTGGGATCCGTGCCCGAGGCAACAGGCCTGGCCACGCTGGGCCACGGGACTCCAGCCCACGCTGACTGCACCCCAGAACCAACCAAGAGTCTCCCTTAATTCTGCCTCGTTCCTCGTGGACCCTCAACTACGTTTGATCTAGCTGGTCTCTGGGTGTGAAGGCCAAGCCCCAGATGAGTCTCATTTAAGCTGAACCTGCCCAGCTATGTCGGGCAGTGGTTTTCCATCTTGTTGTGCAGAGTCATCTGGGAGGGAGCTGGATTAAAGATGCCAGGCCAGGTGCTGCCCCCTTGATATGCTCCTATGGTATGTGGGTGGGGCTTGGGACCTGTAGGTTCAGTGACGCCGTGCAGAGTCAGGGCTCCCTGGGACGGATGATGAGTAAGCACTGGGCCATCTGCTTTACCCTTGGGTGGAGACCCATGGATCCGTGGCACGAGGGGCCAGCTGCTCTGGGGCTCCCCATTCAGCGGTGCATCCACAGCCAGCATGGCCTGACCAGAAGGGACATCCCCCAGGCAGACATGCTGCAGCCCGCCATTCTCAATGAGGGCTGCTTTGTCCCCAGGGGACACTTGACAATATCTAGGGTCATGTTTGGTGGTCATGCCTGTCAGTGGGTCAGGTGGTGTCCTCAAACGGGTGGAGGCCAAGGAGGCCACCCCATGTCTGCTGCACGTGTCAGAAAGGGATCCAGCCCCAAACGTTGCTGGAGTTCAGGTTGAGAAATCTTATGTTAGCAGGAGAGTCTCCATCAGCCTGAGTCTGACGTATGGATCTAAGTATTATGCACCTAATGTCTGTCCACCTATACATACGTACATCTATCCATCCATGATTTATGTATCCATCCATCCATCCATTGACCTATCCATCCATTCATCATTTATGTTTCTATCCATCCATCTATCCATCTATCCATCCACTCATTTACTCATCCTTCCACCCACCCATCTATCCAACAAACCATCCACCTAGCTACCTATCCATCCATCCATCCACCCAACCATCCATCCATCCATCCATCCACCCAACCATCCATCCATCCATCCATCCACCCATCTATCCATCCATCATCCACCCACCCAACCATCCACCCATCCATCCATCCATCTATCCACCCACCTATGTACGTATCCATCCACTCATCTATCATCCATCCATCATTTATCTAACTATCCGTCCATCCACCTATCTATCTATGATCATTGTCCTTATCATCATTATAAATCTATAGACTCAAATAGACTGTAAGGAATTGCCCCACAGGGCAATGTGTGGCTGGCAAGTCCAAAACCTTCAGGGCAGTCTAGCAACTCAGCTAGGATACAACACTGCCATGTTGAGTCTGACTCCCTTCTTCTCCAGGAGACATTACTCATTGCGTTTAAGGCCTTCAACAGATGGAGGAGACCCACACATTACCAACAGTGATGTGTTTTCCCAATATGTGATTGCAGATGGCAGTCCCATTGACCGCATACCAGCGCAGTGACGTCTACACTAGCATTTGACCAAATATCTGAGCACTGAAGCCTGTCCTCATTGACACAAAATATGAAACTTTTGGGATGTTTTCATGTTTCTACTTCCACTGCTTGAGACACCAAGTTTGCAGGTTTTCTGGAGGGTTCCAATGTGCCTGTCCTCAGCCCCCTGGGTCTCCTGCAGCTCTGTCGTCAGAAATAACTCCTGTGTTTGTTTCTGGTGCTAGAGTGGAGTGGAGCGAGGTCTGTTAAATCTTTTAGCATCCCCGCTTTCCCTATGACCTTGAGCTACACCCTTGAAGAAGGTGTCCCTGTGGTGAGGACAGCTGCTGTAGAAATTGCCACATCCTTGAGAACCGAGGGGGCAAAGCTCGCAAAGCATTGTGCCTTCTGCTGTGAGTGTTCCGACGGCTTTCCCAGGCGACCTTGGAGCAAACCATTCTCAAGAGTTTTCCCAAAACATTTTCTTCTGATAGTTTGTTTTTATCCTTGTGGATCCCAATAAAATATGGTCTGGACAAATGGTGATCCCTGGGGGAGGTAGTTGGGGAACTTTGCTGGGTGGTGGTTATCAGGATTGGAGGGGGTGGGGTCAAGAGGCAGAATCTCCCACCCCACCATCCATTCCTGGAGCCCCACTCTGGATGCATTCCCGGATTTGTAGGTGGTCCTCCTGTGTCAGGAATTTGGTGAGCTCCTGCCTCTTACCCAGGTCACGAGGGAAGCATCTAGTGTCCCCACCCCAGATGATGTCAATCAGCCTCTCTCGTTTTCAAGGCCCCCAAAGCTAACTTCCCTCCTACTCATGGGAAGAAACAGCCTAGGGCTCTTCTTTGGCTCTTATTTTCTTGAAAGGGGTGACGATCTCTCAGATCCTGGGAGGTTCCGTGACCTGGATAGAGCTGGGAGGAAGGATGTCTACAGAGTATGGTCCCCGCGGCCAACAACTCCAACACCCCCTGGGAGCTGCTAAGAATGATAGTCTCAGCCTCGCCCAGACCTGCTGAACCAGAATCTGCTCGTAAGAGGATTATAGGCTGATACGCACGCCCAGGAGGGTCTGAGAGGCGTGGAGGCAGAAGTTCTGAGGCTGAGGAATGTACACGGCCTGTCCTCGTGCAGCTCCGCTGAAAATCTCCTTTCTTTCCCCCCTAGGACTGGGGCCACGTGAGGGCCTCCCGTCCATCCCAGCAGAAGTCTGTGGTGATTCTATGGTTTAAGTCTGTTACGGGTTGAACTGTGTCCCCTCAAAATTCATAGGATGCAGCCTTAAGCCCAAGATCTCAGAATGGGGCTGTATTTGAAGGTGGGGGTCTTGAGAGATGGGATTACAGTAAAATGAGGTCACTAGGGTGGCCCTGATCCCATAGGACTGGGGTCCTTCTAAGAAGAGGGGATGTGGACAAGCACAGAGGGGTGGCCCTGTGAGCACACAGGGTCTACACGCCCAGGAGGGAGGCCTCAGGAGGCATCAGCCTCCACCCTCCAGGACTGGATGGGAAGCCCACAGCCCGCAGCCTCAGTCTCCCCAAGGAGCTAGAGAGAAATGCAGCTCTCAGGCACACCCAGAGCTGTGGTAGCACAGGCTGTGTGTCACCCATGTCCTTGGAGGTCCATGTGCACGTGTCCCCCTGGGAAGGTCTAGGACACAGCCTCCAATATTGCCTTGTCAGACAGTCTGCATTTCACGACAGATGTCTTGCCTTTCATCACCAATGACCATCCCTTAGTCCCTTGTGACCAAGTACTTTCCGTTCCTGGGACTGTGCATGTTGTCAGGTTGGAGGGGTTTCATCCAGAGGGGACTTGGGGACGCTAGGAACCGGGACAACTGGTTAACCTTCCAGGAGACGTTCAACTGCCCTGAGCTGCAGGGTCAGAAGGGTGGGGTGGGGCTCCAGGGACCACCGTCTCATCTCCATAGAGGGTCTGCACTGCTGTCCCTGGACAGAGTCCCTCCTGGTGTCCCTCCACGGGCATGCAGCTATGCAGCCTGAGAACCCAGACCTCTTGTGTAACCCTTGCGGCTGCAGGAAAACAGAAACCTTGGAAGCACCCCGAAACTCTTACAGATTTAGGCACAGCTGTTCCAGAGGAAGAACGCAGAGCCCGGTGGCAATGCACCCCCCACCCACCTGGGCACCCCACCCTGGACTCCTTGTCACTGTCCGTGCAAACCTAATACACGCACTGTTAATTTTCCCTATCCTGGGGAAGAGCTCCAAAAATATGTGTTCTGTACATTAATATATATATTTTTAAGAATGGAGCCGAGTGAAAGGATTGGCCTCAGGCAAGTCAGGATTGGCTCTCTGCGCATCCCTGCTCCAGCGACATCCCCAGAGAGGGGCAGCATCAAGGAAGGGAACACGTCCCACAGACGGGAGCCTTGGGGAGGCAAGCATCGGGTGGCAACTGACCCTGAAGGCTGCTTGCAATTAGCCCCACAACTCGGGGAAATCAGTCAAATCCTATGTGAAGAAATGACGCATACATTCCTGGACCCGATGCAGATACAGTAGAGAGTCAGGATTTCTGTGGTTGCAGGGGGAGCTCGGACGTGGGCTTGGGCGTGGCTCCTGGCTCTCGTGGAGGTCGCTCGTGGCCGCGCGGGCAACGGGGACCCTCATGGCATTGGCATGCCGTGATGATTCTTCCAAGCACGGTCTTGCTGTTTGAGGATTCCGTGGGTCATGTGGAGTCGAGGGTCCATGTCGTAGCTGAGAAATTCAGGGCATGCAGAGGGTACTAGGGAGTGGTGGGAGTCTTGGGGGGGCAACAGGGGTTGGCGTTCTGATTTGGTTCCTGGCTCCTGGAGATGACCATTCTCCTCCAATTGTTACTCAAAAACCCAAACAGCTTTTTTTTTTTTTTTTTTTTTTTTTGGTGGAGGGAGGGGCTGCTGTGTATAACGCTGACCGTCAGCCTCCCACCAGCATGAGCCACCGTAAGCCCACATCCCCGGGATCCCAGCGGGATTGCCAGCATCACAACCCCAGGACACATGATGCTACTCTCCCCCCGGGTCCCGGATCCAGCACATGTGGGTTTGATTAAAAGTCCCCGAGCTTGCTAAGCAAAAGGAGAAAACAGATGAGAAACAGGTCTTGGGACATGAGTCACGTCATGTGCTCTGAGTGGAAAATAATGCCGATGGCCTCGTGAGCACCGTCCCTCTCTGGGTGTCTCTCCAGGAGCAGCCTCGTCAGCCCGAGTGAACTCCCAGCCCAGCTAGGATCTGAACTGCATGGGGACCCTTGCCACGCCATGGCCACAGTCGCCCCAGAGAGCGCTGGGTGCTTGGCCAGTTCCCCCTGCCTTGCAGGAGTGGACGCTCCCTCCACGGGCTCCTGATACTGGCCAGAGTCCACAACTGATGCAAGAGGTCCCGGGGACCCTCCCCTCCATGCATGCATGAGTTCTACTCACACACCAGCCTTGGTACGGCAAACCCCACATTTCCAGATGTGGCTGCCTCATGCCCGGTCCTCCTCTCCACCCACCAGAGCTCGGGATGCACGTGCATCTGGGCCACCGTGCTGGTGAGAAGGGAGGGGGCACAGAGTTGGGGAGGTTTGCAAAGGCACCGAGGGGGCGCCCTGGCCATTAATGCAGGCGGAGTTGTCTGTCAGGGATCCTACATCCCACGCATGGGGTTCCGGCCCCCTGGACGCAGGCATTCAGAGAGGCGGATCAGCGGTTGGGCTGGGCGGTCCGAGCAGATAACACAGAGGCCTTCGCTTATCTGGGACAACAGGCGTGGTAGAGGCCTTGAGAGCAGCTTGCTGGGCGCGGGGTTATTGTGGGGGTGCCTGGAACTTTGGGGACGAGGCCCCGGTACAGCAGGACCATGGTCATTCCTGAACATCAGCGCCTGCACCAGGGGGTTGCCCACGGGAGCTGCACAGAAGGGGGTGTGCGTCCCCAGCCGCCCTGCAAGGGGGTTGATGCGCAGCCCCGTGCGTCCACCCTGGACGAGGGCGGCCAGAGAGAGCCCCGGGGGCAGCCGATGGGGCCAGGCTATTCCTGCGCGAGCAACAGGCTTTGGCTGCTGCGAAGCAGACCCTGGTCAGGCAGACGCGCGCACGGAGGGACCCGCGCCTCCCACAGTGGGAAGCGGCGCCGTGCGATTGGCTCTGCAGGGGGGCACGTCCCCCGGGGCCTCCGATGTGGACTGCGGGGCCTGCTGCTGGGTGCACCGCGGCCTCCAGGCCCCTCAGAGGTGTGCGCTTGGCCAGCAAAGCTTGCTGCACGGGGATGCCACCCAGCGTCCAGGCGTCACCCTGTCCCCGATGCCCGGTCTCCTTTAAGGAGCGCGCGGCTGCGGCGGAGGCTGCCCGAGGGTCCAGCATGATTCTGTCTCTCCCTGTAAGGCCCCCGGAAACCGGCTCCTGGTCTGTGGTCATCGGGGGTCTGGGGAGGGGGCTGCAGACCAGCTACCGATGGGTCTCCTGTGCAGGCAGTGCAGTGTTCTGGACATGGAGGCCGGTGGTCACTCCCTCCCCGCACCCCAGAGGAACGCGCTCTATGCCGCCCAAATGTGCGCGTTTAATGGGCAAATTCTCTCCGTGTAGCTGTTTGGAAAAAAAAAAAAAAGAAAAAAAAAAAGTCGTCGCCCAAAAAGGGGACTCAAATGGGCCAGAAGTGGTAACATCCTCTGATCACGCTCTTGGAATTTTGGGAGCAGCGCAAGGGGCAAAGCCAAGCGGCAAGGAGAGTCTCCGTGAGCAGGAGAGGAGCTTGGGGCAGCTGGGGGCCACTCTCTGTGGATTTGAAAGATCTGGGGTTTTCTTTAGAGAAAATGCACATGGATAAGGGTCGCTGGGTGAAGGAACACAGAGAATTTCACAGTTTTGCCCGACGTGGAGCCCAGCACCAGCACCCTGGGATTGGAAAACACGGGAGCCCTCGTCCCGCAGGGCCCAGAGCTGGAGACCCCACACTCCCCGCCTCCCCCATGCACAATGACGCACCCGGAGCGTCTCCAAGGTGAAGCAGCGAAAAAGCAGAAACAGGGTCTTAGCTCCTGCCCAGATCCCAGATTCCTTTCACCGTTTCCCTGCAAGCCAGAAAGCTTCAGAACCGTCTGAGCTCCGGGAGGAGGGCCGGGTTCAGAGAGCTTTGCGAAGGCTTCCGGGGGAAGGTCCTGGAGAACGAGGGGTTGCTTTGTGGCCGGGCCGGGCGTGCACACCCGTGTGTCTGAGCACAGAAAGGAAAAGACCCCAGAAATCTGCCCATGCGTTTCCCGGGAACCCAGAAATGGGGCCCGGGACCAGCTCCTGGGGACGGATCTCACCAAATTCCGGCAGTGCTGGGACTCCCCACAGAGGTCAGGGAAGGCTTTGTTGTCAGGCCTAGTTTGCAAAGCGAAAGTAACACCCGAGCGCAAGGGGAGGCTTGGGCTCGGGGTTAAATAGCAGAAAACAGCTGGTTTTGTGTCCCTTTCACAGTCGGGGCAGGGACGTGTCCCAAACGGCGGCTTTGGGAGCAGAGGGACAAGCAGGGTGGAGCTGGCTGGTCCCGGTGGCAGTGTTGGGCCGTTGTAAATCTCTTTGTGCGGATCTGGCTGACTTTGTGGGGGCTGGGCTAACGGCGCTTGTTCCCCATTCAGCCCCGTGGACAATGTCCATTTCTCTCCCCAGAGGGGAGGGAACTTACCTTGTCTCAGACGTGCTGCTGTCTGACTACAGGGGTGTTTCGTTCTCGTCCGTCTTGTACCTCAACGGGCACCTTTGAAACAGCGCCCCCATCACCTCCTCCGGGAAGACCTCCAGGTGTGCTCACCTAAGAAGTGCATTGCCCGCTGCCTCTCTTTTCTCCCTTTCAGGGTGCTCATGCACCTGTCCCCCTGAAACAGCTGGGAGGCAGGGCTGACCGGGTTCACTGGCGCCCACCCAGCACCCAGCGGTGTTTGCACAGTGCACGGGAGCTCGGCGTGTTGGAAACACGCCCGTGGTCCGCTCGGGAGCTGGAAGGAGTTGAGATCCTGGGACGATGCCGTCCTCCTTGAAGAGAGCGATGACGTCAGGATCTCCCAGAAGACGCGTCTTGGGTGAAGGGCCTCGACTGCTGGGAAAGACAAGATACTCGTTGGACAACCCCACGGGGAGGTGGAGACGCTCTGACCGTCCGCTGAGCTCTCGCCGTGGGCTGACCTCTGCGCCGAGGCCCCTGTCTGATTAGCGTGGACGCACGGGGCAAGGGGACCCGCCAGCAGCCAGGAGCCTGGGCCCCTGACACCTCCCGTCTGCGCCACTTACGCCCTCTGTGTCCCTCACAGGTCAGCGTGACTTCGATTTGGCTGACGCTCTCGACGACCCCGGTGAGTGACTGTATTTCTTGGGGGCTTTGCTTCTGCAGCAGATTGGTGGTTGCTGGGGGATCTGGGGTCCCTTCCCCAGCGGGTTTACCATCGGCCTCCTTCGACGGGGCAGCTTGCTTTCCCCGGAAAGGGGGCATGGGGTTGGAGAGACCCCCACGCCCTGTCTTCACCACGTTTGAGCCCACCTGCCCATTCTTGCTGCCAGAAAGCTGACTATTTGGCTCCTGGACCATGTAGGAGGGTCTGGATTCCGGTGTAGCTGGGCAGCAGGCGTGTGCCAAGGTGGAGACTCTGTTTCCCCCGTGAGGCTGCACTGGGGTCCTCAGGCTGCAATGCTCCCGGTCTGCACCGCTGGGAGGTCAGGGTAGCCCTAGGGTGGATGGTTGCAGCCCCCACTCAAGGCGTTGGGTGGCATCTTCCAAAGGTGAGTCTGAACGGCAGGCACGAGGGGATGGAAAACACGGAGAAGGGGCACGTGGCTGTGGGAAGGGGTCAGGCTGTGGCTCATTGGAAGCAGCGCTGGCAGAGGACCCCGCTGTTCCCATCCTGGGGAGATGCTTACGACAAGGACACGCAGGGACTCGAATGTCCACACGTGCATGCTCGTGGACAGCCGTGCACGGGGGCAGCAGAGCCATTCACAGTGGCTGGAAGGTGTGCGACCACGGTCCGTGCACGGAAGGAATCTGGTGCGGCCCTGGAAAGGGAGGACCGCTGGCACCTGCCTGCTGATGGATGGACTGAGGACATGTGATGTGAACTGCAGAGGGGAGTTTGAGCACGTGGTCTCGTCTGCTTGGAAGCAGCCCAGCCACTGTGCACCGCGGCAGTCCCGTCCGTGCTCGCTCACCCTGTCCGTCCTCCCTCCTCTGAGCTCCTGTCCCCCTGGTCTGTGCATGCAGACCCCACTCCCAGGCTCACCCAGACTGTGCTTTGCACCCCTGAGCACTGCCCGCCCGATGTCCACGTCCCCAAAGGCTGGCCTCGTCGTCGTGCAATCGCCTGGGGGGCTGTGTGCATCCCTGTTAGACTCTCCCAGACACGTGGGCACTCAGCGTTTGTTGAATGAATAAACACACACGTGAAAGGAAGAGACAGAAGCCGCGTTGTGGGAGCAGAAAGCGTCTCTGTCTGCCTGTCTTTGCCTCCCCTGCCTCTGCCCGCCATAGATGTGGCCACTTTCCTGGTGGAAGGTGGCCACGGGCCCTGGAGGCTCTCGGCTAAGTCGGCCTTTGTGCAAAGTGTCTGTCCCTCACCTCCGGAAGGGCTTTGCTCTAAGCCTAAGGTGCATTCTGTCTACACCCCCTTCCCGAAATAACACGTGTTCGGAACACATCCTGTTCCCTGCCTTCAAGTTTTCACCTTTTGTGAGGGTGTGCACGGTTCCTTGTGGGGGCTCCGGCACATCCTCCAGGCTCACCGGGTTCGCTTCCCCTCTTTGTCCGCAGAGCCCACCAAGAAGCCGAACTCAGGTGAGTCGGAACGTGCAGCGTCCACGTGTCTCCAACGAGGCCAGCCGGCCAGTAGGAGCAGCACGGCTCATCGCGCCGACCCGCGTGTCCTACGGCTGCTCGGGGCACCAGTCTGGAACGTTCTCCCTATAAGAAAGAAAGAATGTGTGGTAGCTGGGACCTTTGGGGTTGGGGGCTAAGTAGATTCGGACGTGGGCAGAGGGACCGAGTCGTGTGTGTCGATTATGCCTCCATAATACAGACAGGATGTGTTTCAGACATTTTTTTATAATGTGATATATAATTAGATAGCACATAGGGATACGTGTGATATCCGTTCTTAAATTATATATAAAATAAATGATATGAAATAAATAATGATAAATGATATATAAAATACATGATATATAAAATACATGATAAATAATATACAAAATAAATGATATATATAAATTATATATAAAATAAGTGATATAAAATAGGTAATGGTAAATTATATATGAAATAAATGATATATAAAATAAATGATATGTAAAATAAATGATATATAAAATACATGATAAATTATATATAAAATAAATGGTACATAAAATAAATGATATAGTGTATAATAAAATAAAATATGGAATTATAACTATTCTGTAGCACACATACAGCACACATACCATAAATGATAGAGAGCACATAGATTATTAAATTATATATGATGGGCACCTGGGAGCCTGAGTCTCTTAACCTTTGAGTCTTTGTTTCGGCTCAGGTCATGATCTCAAGGTCATGGGGTCGACCCCACATTGGGCTGGATGTTCAGGGTGAAGACGGCTTCAGATTCTTTTCTGTCCCCCTTCTTCTCCCTCCCCTGCCCGCTCTCTCTCTCTCTCTCTCTCTCTAAAATAAATAAACAAATAAAGTGCTTTAAAACATAAAAAAATAAATTGTACATAAAATAACTAATATATTTATGTACCACATAATGAAATATAATAAATAATTATGCATATTAGGTAGTATATAATATAGCATATATGACATACATGCAAATTAAGTAATGTATTTATATAATATAACATATTGGAATTATATATAATATATATATCATGTAGCATATATCATATATGTAAAGCAAACAATATATTTATATTATATAGCATGTAATTATATATTACTACTATATATACTATATATATACACTACCTATATCACACACACAAAATACATGTATATTATTAAATCATGTATAGAATAATTAAATTATTAAATTATACATTATTAAATCATGTATAAAATAAGCATAAAACAAGTAATATATTTAATATATTTGTATAACATAATTTTAACATACATTTAACATACAGTTGTATATAATATATAATATAGCACATTTCATAATATCATATATATTATACATAAGTAAATACTATAGTTAAAATTAAAAAGAGAGAGAGATAACCAACAACCAGGAGAAGACCATGTTTAATAAGAAAGCATCGACATCAATTTAAAAATACACCAGGAGAATTTCTCTGCCTTTTTTGGCTTTTTTGTTTGTTTGTTTGCACGCTGATCCTTACCATTAGGCCGGCACCTGTCGGCAGCCTGGAACTCTGGCACCATCTTCACCATAGAAGCGAGCTTCTAGGGAACAGCGTGTGTGTGTGTGCGTGCGTGCGTGTGTGTGTGTGTGTACACGCACCCTTGTGTGTTTTTCCCTTTAAGTTGTAGTTTTCAGATTTTACGTCTGCCGACTCAGTCGTGTCCAGCGGGTCCGTGGCCCTCTGTGACACCGTGAGCAGCAAATGTGAATAAGATAGAAAATCGGTACTTGCACGACGTCCTTGTTGTATAGGCTGCTCGTGAAGGAGGCTGTTTCTCTGCACTGAAAATGCAATGTCGTTTCCCCCGCAGATCTCTACCCAAGGCCGAAACCGCCGTACCACCCGCAGCCCGGGATGCCGGACGACGGTGGAAGTAAGCGTTCTCAGCCCTCAGGCTCCCTTCCAGCCTGGTTTTGTGATGCCTGCCTTGTCTTAACGGGGATGGGGGTCATCAGGCTGGTTTTGGAATAAGGAGCAGCTCCCTCAGCAGGAAACGGAGTCGCACTCCTAAGCGGGAGGGGGCCGGAAGGTCAAACCAACATCACTCATTTTATTTCCCCTTACTCTGAGCTCTGGAAAATACCACGTGCTCAGACGGTCTTGTATGTTCTCGTGATGGTTTTTAGTGATGCTGAGGACAAGTTCCTTTCCCGCTCGTTTGCAGGCTCCATATTATCTCCTACTCATAAATCCCCCCTGTGTGCGCCGTGCATTACAAGTCATTGACCCTCCGTGTCTCCTTGGCTTCAAAAACCTGGTAGACCCAGTTCCCATAGATTTCCTAAAAAATAAATAATTAAATAAAATAAAAGGAAACATTGTCAGTCAAGTCCCTGGTGATCCAATAGCACCCAAAACCTAAAACCCGACCACGTAGAACCACGTGAGGCTGGGCTACGTCAAGGGCCTCCTGAAGTGTTCCTCACATCCCCATGCTCCTTTCCGACAGATATCTACCCAAAGCTGAGGCCACACCCTCGCCCTCAGCCCGGCGGTTCTGACGGCGGCGGAGGTAAGTGTATTAATCCTGGATTTAGAAATGTTGGGAATGGATGCACCATCCATATTGACCCACTTGAAATTCTGTCCTCCGTGGTGAAGTGACAATGGTTTTCGAATGCCCAGCAGTTGCTTTACTAGCAGTCTGCTCCCATGTTGGGGACAGAAGACCCAGCCCCCTAAATCTCTCCATCAGAGTGCACACGCTCAACTCGGTTGGCTGGAATGGTCTACACAATCCCCCGTACCCTTCCCAAATCCCTGGCCGGGGCATTCTGTCTCCTCCATGGTGTTCATGAGGGGTCATGATGGACACTGGTCTCAGCTCATGGATGTTTCTGGAGATGCCCACTTGAAGCAAAATTAATGGGAAATCATGAGCTCTCCAGAGCCTCATAATAGCCTCTTGAAGATGCCGCCATGTCTTTGGTGGCTGGCCCTTATTGGATGGCAGAACAGGTTTCCGGAAGCTCCTTTCCCAGCGGTCCCCACAGCTCTGGGCAGGCGTCCCTGATGGAGCAACTCTTCCTGAGAGAAATTGGACAGTTTAATCCAACCCCAGGATGGACAGCCAGGCTTCTCTATGGGGGTTTCTAAGAGATAGGACAGGGACCAACTATGGTCTCATTAATAGAGGGAAGGGGAAAGAGATGCAGGGTGACTACAGATGGTCTCCCAAACCCTGAGTAGGTCCCCTTGGAGGTCATCTGGGCTCCAAGTAGCTCAGTCCTATACACACGCCCTGGGAGGGCAGGGGGCATTGGAACTCTGTGGGGGAGAGAAGGTTGTTTGGAGAGATGGGCGGGTCATGCAGACAGATTTTGCTAAAGGATGCTTAGGGCATCCCAAACCCCTCTACGTGCATCTCTGGGGCCTTGTCTTGGCTCTTGGGGACAAAACGTGCAGGTTTCAGCCATCTGGGAGCAGTAAACAGGTATATGCCTTCTGTGGGGTTTGCCAAGCAGGCAGACTCCTTCCGTAGGGTTCTCCAAGCAGGTAGATGCCTTCCATACTGTTTTCCAAGCAGGTGGATGCCTTCTGTAGAGTTTTTCAAGAAGGTGGATGTCTTCTGTTGGGCTTTCCAAGCAGGCAGATGTCTTCTGTGGAGTTTGCCAAGCAGGCAGACTCCTTCTGTAGGGTTTTCCAAGCAGGTAGATGCCTTCTGTTGGGTTTTCCAAGCAGGTGGATGCCTTCTGTAGAGTTTTCCAAGTAGGTGGATGCCTTCTGTTGGGTTTTCCAAGCAGGTGGATACCTTCTGTGGGGTTTTCCAAACAGATGAACTCCTTCTGTAGGGTTTTCCAAGCAAGTAGATGCCTTCTGTGGTGTTTTCCAAGAAGGTGGATGCCTTCTGTAGGGTTTTCCAAGCAGGTGGACACTTTCTGTAGGATTTTCCATTGCGTGCACATTTTCCAGCGCTGAACTTAGCGGTGCGCATTTTCATGGCATTAGCAACCGGCCAGCTCAGATGTGAGGGCTGGGGTCTCCAAAGGGACCTGTGTCCCTGTGGGTGCATAGGAGGCAGCTGGAAGGTGGGCAGGCTGTGGCTTGTGGCCAGAGCCATTAGACAAGATACACAGTTTCCTTTCTGGATGGTGATCATTGGCCATGGGAACTGCTGCTGCCTCCTGACACCCCCTTAGCACCCCCTATCCTAGGGCAACACATCCTGCAGCTGGGCTCTGGAGATAGGTTGGCCCCCACCTCTCAAGGCCCCGAGGTTTCTTCTGATTGCAAACACGGGATGTCCCCGCAATGGCCCCCGCGGACAGGTCAGGCCCTCTCACCAGCCTTCATATATCGGCATCCCCAGAAAAGGGTCAGGACTTTTGGTGCCTGGAAAATGTTAACAAAGGGAATCACTGAACCCAAGAGGGACCTCTGGGGACCCAAGTGCACATTAAATTTCTTTCTATTTTGACCAAAAAATTCCCCAAAAAAGCTGGCTCCCGATATAAGCAACTTTATTCAGAAAAGGGCAGGGAAATTCTGGGGAGCACGCATCACCATGCTCCTGTTTCCCAAAAATAGCACCGGATCTCACAGGGTAAGGGCTCAGTCCAAGGACACTGTCCCCGGTTGAGACGATACTTGGCAAATGCAGGTTGAGCTTCTGAACATCTGGCTGTAGATTGGAGGTTCTCAGAACCCTCTCTCTGGGTTCCATTAATTTGCTAGAGTGGCTTACACAGGTGCTGGTTTACCATATGGTAAATTTGATGAAAGACATGCACAAGCTGTTGGGTTAACAGGTTCATGGGATGAGGTCTGGAGGGGTCCGGATGGGAGCTTGTGTTCCCCATGGAGCGACAGGGGAAGCATCTCCCCTTCAGCATGACCTCGACTCTCACTGAACCCAGTCCTTTTGGGTGTTAGGCAGGCTTCGATCACGTTAGCATGATTGATTAAATCATGGGTCATTGGGATTAACTCATCTTGTGGTGTCTTTCCCATCCCCAGAGGTCACACGTGGCTTGATGGCCATTTGTGACCCGCTCATCATGGGGGCGCTTGGTTTCCCCGGCAACCAGCACCCATCTTTACGGGCTTTTCAGAAACACCTTCATTTACGTCAGCTCAGGTCTGTTTGGAAATTCCAAGTTTTTCAGTAGCTTCCGCTTGCGAAGAGGAGTGCCAAAGTGTGTACGTGAGCACATGCTGTGTGCGGAGGCTGGTTCTACAGCAGTCACCAAGCGGCATGGTTGTGGGGCAGGAACGAATGTGGGACAGTGTGGAAGCTCCGGGGTCCCAGCCAGGGTCAAGGTGGTCTTAGCGCAGGGCCTGAGACTGGAATGGAAGCCTGCATTCAGTGCAGAGGGCATGTGCAAAGGCCCTGGGGTCTGGGGGTCTGAAAGGTGATGGATCACTGTCTTCCTCTGCGTTCTGTATCTCCCTTCAGCTCTCAGAGCATAAGGGGCCCATCCATGCACTTACCCTCCCCAGGCTGCTGGACCACCCGTACGCTCGTCCCACAGGAAGGATGTCATCCCACCTGGATGGCACTGGGGACACCTGCAGTTTGGTGCCAGTGTCCTGGCTTCATGGAAGGGGTCGGCCCCGCTCTCCATAAGCTGCGCGTGGGCTGGGGTTGACTGAGCGCTGTCTGCACGGGCTCTGAGGGTTGGTCTGTGTTTCACTCCACAGGTTACTTTGGCAACACCGACCGGGATGACGGCCGCTACCCGCCCAGACCCAAGCCGCCCGCAGGTATGCCCATGACTTCCCTCACTAGACTGGGGCATGGCACAGAGGCCTAAGTGCAGAGCTGGCCTCGAGTGGAGGACGGGGTGTACGGGGTGTCCGCATCCCGTGCCTTATTGGATGGCGTGCTCCGCGCACCTGTCCCCTCTGGAGGTTGGTGCTATGGGCGACACTGGCCGTGGGGCCAATTGGACTTCCAAGTGGTGGCCGTGTCTGTGTACACGTGTGTGCGTGTGTATGTGTGTACCCACGTGTGCATTCCTTTATAGTCTGCACACAGCTGTGCACGTGCCTTTCTGCCGCCACGTCTGTCCATATGGGTATCCTGCAAGGCGTATGGGTTTACAGACACGTAGCTCTGCAAGGATCTCCACATTCACGCACGATCTCTTTAGAGACATTTACAAGTGCATCTGTCTGTACGCATGTCTCTGTGCAAATTTACTTATGTTGTATCTTTTATATACATTTATAGAAACATCTTTGCATGCGTATGTCTCTGTATATCTTCACTTAGGTATGTATGCCTTATATGTGTGTGTACATATCTACGTATCTCCATATTCATGTACGATACCCTTATCGACATTTGCACATGCACCTGTCTATATACAGGTCTCTCTCTAGATTTACTTACGCACGTATCCATTATATACACTTACAGAAACATCTCTGCATACAATGTTTCTGTATATCTTATATACATATGCCTCTATATACAATTATATAAAGACCTTTGTATACATACGTCTGTATATATCCGGATGCATATATCCGTTGTATATGGGAATGCGTAGTTATGTCTTTAGATTCATGTACAGATCCCTTTATAGACATTTCCAAATGCACCTGTCTGTACACGTCTCTGCACATCGTGGCTTATCATGTATCCCTTAGTCACATGCATAGAAACATCTTTGTATGCACATGTCTCTATCTTGTCGTAGGAATATATCCCTTAATATTCATGTACAGATCGCTTTATAGACATTACATATGGTCCTTTATGTACACATATCTCTATATATCTTTTTAAAAAATATTTTATTTATTTATTTGACAGAGAGAGATCACAAGTAGGCAGAGAGGCAGGCAGAGAGAGAGAGAAGGGAAGCAGGCTCCCCGCTGCCCAGAGAGCCCGATGCGGGGCTTGATCCCAGGACCCCGGGATCATGACCTGAGCCAAAGGCAGAAGCTTTAACCCACTGAGCCACCCAGGTGCCCCTATTCTACTTCTGCATATGTATGTGGGTATATCCATCTTCATGTGTATTCATATACTTTGACACGTACGTGTGTATATTTTTATGTGTGTTTCTATGATGATCGCTGTCCTTTTACATCCCTAAATACACATTTATGGTGCACGTGTGTGCATAGAGTCATGTTTCCAGATTTACGCTGATGCACACGTACACAGGTGTGTGTAAAGGTTTAGTGGGACAGATGTTCTATCATGGGACTGGGGACACCTGCAGAGAATTTTTCATACATAAACCAACGTGCAGACAGTCGGGACAGAGCCCTCTGCAGGCCCAGGCTCCAGGCTGGACTGCGTGAGGCTCTGTGTCAGGTACGCAGGGTTTCTCCTCTCTTCTGTCATGCGTGACGTGTTTCGGAAGAGGTGAGGACTCGGCCCCGATACCTGGCCAAGAGGCACCTGTGTGGTCTGCACACGCGGAGTATATGTGCCGCTTCTCTCGGTCATGCTCAGCACTGGGAACAAACAGCTTTGCCTTTGAGGTTGTGACGGTCATGACCAGCCACCATAAAAATGCCTGGTCCGTAAGAAAGGACGTGCATGATAGGGTTTGCCCGCCCAGTGTGCCCGTGTCATACAGGTGCTTCTGGGTCATGGTGACCAGTCCTGCTTGGATCTCTGTGCAGGAGAAGGACACATCTGCATTCCCATAAGGCTCTCAGGGTTCACGTGTGCTCTCTGAAGGCACTGAGCCTGCCATAAGGGTCTGTCTTGGCGCGCGTTGTCCTTCCAGAAAGCTGTGACTTGAGGGAGGCAGCCTTGGACATGCTTTGGTGGTCCCCACTCTTTGCCACCCTGTGGAGCTCTCTTAGGGCTGGGTCGTGGGCATGGCTTTGGGGCCATCACCAGGAACCCCGTGGTTCCCAGCAGAGCATCCCTGACGTGAACCTTCTCTCCTGCAGGAGGAGGTGGGAGCTACTACCCCAGCAACGACGGGTCTGGAAACACGCACGGTACGCCCGGCCCCCGGCCCCTGGTGCATGGTGGGGTGGGGGTCATCTCTGCAGGGCTCCCCCTTGCATGCTCATCTCAGCTTCTTCCTGGGGTCTCGGACGTTGGTGCTCTGTCTGCTGGCGTCCACCTCTCCGAGCTGACCCTCTGATTGGCTGCGTCCTGCTCTCCAGGGGCCCCGGCGTCTGGGTTAGTGGGAAACAGAGCAACGGGCAGCGGCACTTGCAGGGGGGACAACATTCAGCGCATCGGGGACTTTTTGGAGGCGGCTGACTTACCCCAACGGAAAACACTTCACGGGGGCCGACTCTGCCAAAAAGGAAAAGTCCGCAGGAGCGATTCATGGGTTCTTGTCTGCACTGAGCTGTTTGCCCTCAGATTGGCAGATCTCAAAGCCCTCGGACGCTCCCTGCTTCCATAAGGGAGAAGACCAAGAACAAAACATCATCACTGGGACAATGAAATGCTACGGATTGATTTTTTTTTTTAATTGAGATACAACAGACACATAACATTGTATCCAGTCTAGGTGTACACCATAGTGATTCGACATTAATTATATGTCGCAGCTCTAAGTCTGGGGAACCACTGTCCGCACACATAGTTACAAATTTTATTTTTTGTGGGTCCGTGGGCACACACAGTTACAAATTTTATTTTTGTTTAATTTTTAAAATATTTATTTATTTGAGAGAAAACAGGAGAGCACAAGCAGGGGAAGCAGCAGAGGGAGAAGCAGGCTCCCAGCTGAGCAGGGAGCCCGATGTGGGGCTCGATCCCAGGACCCTGAGATCAGGACCTGAGCTGAAGGCAGAGGCTTCAACCCACTGAGCCACCCAGGCATCCCAAGAGGTGTCTGTTTTAAACTCAGTGTGCCAATGTGATGCCCCCATCATCCTCTTTCCCTGCAAATGCTGGGACTAAAGCTTATCCAGTATTTTGATAAACAGGCATGGGGAACACTGTAGGGTCAGATGATGCCCCACATCCCTCCAGGCCAGGGAGGTTTCCTGATCTGGGAATGTGTTTACCCCATGCACGCATCTCTGGAGGTTCTCCCTCCTGGAGGGTCCTTTCCAGAGCCTGCTGTTTTGTTCTTTGCTGGATTCATAAGCAGGAAACCCAGGACTTGTCTAGCAGTGCTCCTGGGAGCCCTAAGAATACCTACATTTTTCCCCCAGGAAATGAGCCAGGACTCTGATCCCATGTCACTATTTCTTGGGGAACGATCTCTCTCCAAATGCAGAAAAACCATCCAGCCCTGTCTGTGCCTGGACCCCTGTTCTGTGGCGCTGAGATGCACCAGGCTGAGTCAGCTCTCAGATTAGTACCGAGGACTGGGTTCATGTAGCAGGTGACCATGTCACCCAGCTTCTCCCTGGAGGTGGCGGAATGTACTGGGCACACCCCTTCCTCTTGCAGAAAGGACACCAAGCCTAACAGATTAGTGACCTCATCCTAGTGACCTCATTTTACCTTAATTTTGAACTTTGTTACTCTTAAAGACCCCACCTCCAAGCACAGTCCCGTCCTGAGGTCCCGGGGAGCTAGGCGTTCAACATATAAATTTTGGGGAGGGGGACACGGCTCAACCTGTTACCCCCATCACCCATTCGGAAGAGGCAGTCCCTCGAATGACCCATCCGTGTTGAAACGGCACCGGCAGCAACGCTCCCGCTTCCAAGTTAACAAAATTGGCATCAAGCATCTCGTTTGTCATCTGATACCTTTGTTGAGGAATGGGTCTCCAGACGTGAGAAGAAGGTGCCAGAGATCTTTCTGTTTCAATGGCCAGGATGACTATGGTCTGTCCCACGGCACGCCCCGGGCTGGCCTCCTGGAAAGCGTGTTTGCACGGGAGCTCAGGCCAGCCCCCGGTCTTGGGGCGCGAGCATGGTGTGTGCCCCATTTGCCACAGGTTCCAGAGGGCGTCCGGGGAAGCCATTGCATCCTGCAGGCTGACCTCAGCTGCTGCTCCCTGTGTGTCAGTGGCCGCTCCGTGGTGACTGTGCTCCTTCCCTTTGCACGGGGAGGCTGGCCTGGAAGTTCCGCTTGTGCTGGTTTTCTGAGGGGTATCGCCAAATGTTCTGGAGGGTTCTCTTCCGTTTCACGTGCTCTTTCTGTCCTGCAGGAGGAGGGCGCTCTAGACCCAACTCGTACGGAAATAATTATGGTAAAGGAATTATTTCTAACGAGCTGCGTGCGGAGAAACTGTCCTTGGGGAGAACTAACACCCCACCCCGTCTGGGCGCTGGCGGGAAGCTTCTGCTGTTGTCTCCGGCGTGGAAATGAACGGACCCTCTGGGTCTGGTTCGCGTCCACACCTTTGCATGCTGTGAAACCTTACTTTCTTACCAGGGAGTAAGTAAGCGCTGCTTGCAACTGAAATATGTGTGTGTGTGCACGCGTGCATTCGTGCTCCCCTGTGCGCAAACATGTGTGCCTGTGTGTGTGTGCGCGTGCAAATGGGTGCGTGCCAGGGTAGACATTTATGGGTGCATGTGTGCATCGTCTGTCCATGCACGCGTGTGCGTTCCTGTGCATGTGGCTGCGCACACGTGTCTACTTGGTAACGCACACGGGCATGTTTCCTCGTGTGCACATGTGTGTGTCTATGCGTGTCTGTGCATATGGATTTGCATGAAGATGTGTGTCTCTCTGTGTGCACTGTGTGTGCGTGTGCAGGTGGATGTGAGCACGTTTGTATATGTGGGGCTTGTGTGTGCCTGCAGGTGTGTTCGCATGTGGTGTGCCTGCAGGTGTGTTCGCATGTGGTGTGCCTGCGTGGAGGTGTGCACGCCCCCGGGGGTGGGAGGCGTCCGCGTGGGTGGTGCCGTGTGCACGAGTGGCAGTGTGCATGTACGCATGATTCCATGTGTGCACAAGCATGAATGCGAGTGCGCGCTCGTGCGTGTGGGTGGAGAGGCGAGCATGGATGAAGGGGCACGCGTGGGTGGAGGTGTGCGTGTACGCGCCTGTTCAGGTGTGCACATGCATGAATGTGAGTGTGTGCTTGTGCGCATGGGTGGCGGCGCGCGTGTATGCACCCGTTCGCGAACGCACGAGCATGACTGTGGCTGCGTGCACGTGCGCGGTGCGCCTGCAAACGTGTGCGCATATCCCGTGCCCCCCGGGAGTGAAAAATGCATTGCCTCGTCCCTACCTTGCCCCCCGGCACTCCTCACCTTGGATGTAGCCCCGGCCAACCCCTCCTGAGGCTGTGTCCGCCCCCTCCTCCAGGAGAAGGTAAGCTCCCCGCAGGCACTCGGAGATCCCCTTCCGTCTGCGGCGCTTCCCGTTGCTTCTAGCTGCCTGCCCAGCCTCTCCGCGGCGCCTGGCGGTGGAAACTCTGCTGGGCAAACCCATGACCGTGTGCCTTCCCCTTTACAGGCGGAGACGGATACTCGACCTCCGGGAACCCACAGGGTAATGGCTCCGTGCAACCCCCGTCTTTAATAAAAACATGCTTTGGGCGGGCCCACAGGGGTTTTCATGGACCAGTGGCTCTTCGGTTGGGAAACTCCTGAGCAACGCGGTCTGCTTCTCTGGGCGGCTCAGGTCCCTGGGGACTCAGAGAAGGAGAGAGGAGGGTGGGTTTCGGGCTGGAGGATGCCTCAAGGCTCTGGGCGCAGGGTGGAGTTGGTGGACCTGTCCTCGCGCCACCGAGGGCTCCCATGACTTTGAGCAAGCGCACGAACAGGAAACCAAGAAGGGGAATGGGCCGTTGGTGTGGACATTCCGCCCTCAGGAAGCGCCCTACAAATGCACTGCCCGCCCCAGAGCAGGTCAGGCAAGGCACGGGTGGAGGCCAGAAGGCCCACGCTGGTCACACCTTGCTTCAAGAATGCAGCCTCTTAGCCATCTAGGGTTCGCGTTGAGGCTGAATGCGCTCCCCACCTCAACGCCCGGCTTCTGTGTGTCGTAGATGCTCAGGGAGAAGGACGCGTGGACGCGCTTTCCAGCCCCCGCGCCCCGGTGCGCATGCACGGCCTCCGGGTAGCTTCTTGCTGCCTGGCTGTGTTGGGTGTCGGGAGGACATCCATCCATTCTGTTCTCCTCTCGCACCCAAGCTGGGGCTCTGGAGGGGCAAACCCCAAGAGAGAAATCAAGGCGGCGCACAGGCAGTTGCATGGAACGTATGGGGTCCTGCGTCGAGACAGGGAGACCGATGCCAGACTGGGGTGGGGAGGGGGCAGAGGCTTAATCACTTAGCCACTGAGCCACCCAAGCACCCCTCTTTGTCTTTATTTTTATACTTATGTTCCCCTCCCCCACCCCCGGCCCCGTGCATTTAAGGTCGGGAAGACCCCGAGCTGAGATTATGGGATAATTTGCAATGCTCGCCGCCCTCGGTCGCTGTGTGTTTTCTGAGCCCCCGTTTGGTGTCTCCATCCCGCAGGTAACACGGTAGCGAAAATCGTGTCTCCCGTCGTGTCCGTGCTGGTGGTCACGCTGGTGGGTGCCGCGGCCGGTTACTGCCAACGCAACCGAATGAGGAACTGTTTGAGGACAAATGGCAAGTTTCGGGCTCTGTGCAGATACCTCCTGGAGCCTGTCGCTGGGCTGGGTTCTTTCTGGGTTCGCCCCATAGAGCAGTGTCACCTAAGGATATGGTGTTAAATTGGGTCTTCAAGGGGGAATCCTTTTCCTTTCATTATTATTTTTTTTAAGCAGCTCTGGGATTGGCAAGAGTGGGTGTTTCTGCCAGTCTCTCACGTAGACTGAAATGTTATCGGGGTTGCCATCAGCTGGGCTGACACCGTTTCTCTTGATCCTAAGGGACTCGGGAAATGGTTCGGTTGCACCTGCCGTGTTTGTGTTTCTCTCCAAAAACAAAAGTATGGATGGATAGACTTGGAAGGCTTTCTGTTGAATTCCCGCAAAATTTCCCCCGGGAAATGGGTGGGGGGCCCCTGTGGCTTTCTAGTTCAGGATCTTTTTGGGGGGTGGGATGCAGGATCCTAGGTTTGGAGAATCACACCTCCTTAGGGGGCGAAGGTGGCAGGTCCTGGGCTGAAGACCTGTTTGCAGGGAGGGTCCAGGGACAGAGAGGGGGTTGTAGGGGACAGACACGAGCTGAGGGAGTGTTGAGCTGTGGTCCCCACAGCAGGCAGCCAGGGAGGACTCCATCTGGGGTGTGTGGGGTGCACTCACCCGGTCTCCTTTGTATCCCTAAGGAAGCCTGCAGAAGGGTGTTTGAGGGAGGCTTGAAAATCCCCAAACCTGCTCAGGGCCTCCCTCTGCTGGCGGACGGGCAGTACTGACCAAATGCAGACACTGGGGAGCTCGGGTCTACACCACACCCGCCCCCCACTCCCCACCCTACTCCCCACCCCAAAAAGCCTGGGGGGGAAACTGAGCCTCTGAAAAACCCCTCAGATGTCTGGGCAGTCGTGGATCATCACAGACACATGGCAGATGCGTGACTTTGGATTCCTCCTTCCACACGGATACGCGGGCATTTCGGAACCCGTCAGTGTAGACCTGAATTGGGTTGTTCTTTTGTTTGTTTGTTTGTTTGTTTGTTTTTGGTTTGTTTGTTTTGTGTTGTTTTTCGGTAGGGATCATGGCCTCCCTGTGTATCAGACGGTGCCCTTTTTTGTTTTTGTTTTTTTTTTCTTGTTGTTTTGTTTTGTTTTCCCATCTGGATGCTCTCTTTGCTTCTTTGGAGACTAGAGAAACATCCCGACTAGTTTTTCAGTGACTCTTGTTTTTTTTTTTTTTTTTTTAAGAGTTTATTTATTTATTTGAGAGAGGACAAGAGAGAGCCAGCAGGAGCCGGGGGACGTGCAGGGGGGAGGGAGAAGCAGGCTCCCCACGAGCAAGGAGCCCCATGAGATGAGGGACTCAGTTCCAAGACCTTGAGATGATGACCTGAGTGTTCACTGACGGAGCCCTCAGACGTCCCCTCCACTACCTCTTCTTCAGGGATCATGTCCCTGGGTCCCACGGACATCACGTTTGCCTGCCCGTCTGTTAAAACTAGAGTCCTTAGACCCCAGTCAGGTACACCTACTGTCACAGGACGAGGGGACCCTGCGAAGACGGGCAGGACTCCTGCCGGGGCTACCTGGTCTTGCCAGCTGCCAGGCCTGCAAACCGTCCAGCACAGATGACCCGTGGTGGTTCCATTTAGGCTTTCGTCCAAGACGTGGATGTGGGGGATGGTCTCAGCCTTACAGAGGGCTTGACTCTACCCCCTCACACCGACTTTGCCCAGCTGGGCCATTGCGTCCGGGAGGTCCCCTGTTGGCTGAAAGACGGGTGACACTCTGTCTTGGCAAGTTGGAGGGGAATGCGTTGCAGTGCGCAACCTGTGGAACTGGACATGTGCAACAGCCCCACTTTGAAGCTGCCACACCTTCTGGGGACACACTTCTGGGGCCACATACAGGGCGACAGGTGGACTGTTTGAGCATGACGCTTTGGCTTTATTTGCTCGACTGCAAGTAATAAAAGCTCCTGCTTCTGAGGTTCTGAAGGTTAATGGAGCCCCAGCCATAAATGGGGGTTTGTGCAAAAATTAGCTGTTTCCCAAAAAGACATAGTTGGTCAATTCACCCTCGGTATGACATGCTGTTCCCCATCTTCCCTTCCAGAACCAGCACACGTGTGAGGGTTTGGAGACCCAGCGGTCGCTTGGGAAGATGCTTGGTGTAGACAGGAATGCCGTTGGCCGCTCCTGGGACACTTCCTTTCGTCGTCGACGTCACCCGCCGCACTGACGTGACTTCGGTTTGGCCCAGAAAGCATCCCCAGTCCGCAGGACACGGTGCATTCATGAGCATGACTGGGTTCCTCCTCGGGTCGAACAAAGATTCTTCCTTCCTCTGATGGTTTGATCGCGCCTGTGGATAGATGCCGTCTCTGGCTTGGGTTCCCAGCGCTACCTCGGCCTGCAGGACGTGCATGTGGGTGACCCATGTGTGTCTCCCCAAAGCACAGTGCAGGTCCCAGGACACGGGTGCTGTCTTCTTCTGGGGTATCAGGAACACCACTGGGGGTGGGGGGATGGTTTCCAGGAAGCTCTGGGGGGAAGCTTGGCCCAGGCTGAGTCTCTATCCGAGGGCCGGCGCCCGCCGGTGCCCGCCGGTCTGGCTCTTGTGGGATGCGGGATTCTCAGCCCTGGGGACGGCTTCGACCAACCCTCCCTCCCCTGCCCGTAACCTGCACACACCGAGGTTGGGTTTTGGGATTGTACATGCACAGTTGCTCGAGTGCAAGCCGTCTCGGGGGCGGGAGGCGGGGGGCAGGAGTGGGGGAAGCGGCCTCAGGATGCTTTTCCTTTTCCTGTGAAATCTTAAGGTTTCGGGGTTTCTGGGAAAATAGGGGACAGCGATCGCGATGTGTGTCTCTTGCCTGTCCTCTCGTATTAGTTTCCCTCTGATCCCCTGTAGGTTTCTGTCCTTTCTGCAACACTATCCTTTTTCTTAGTGTATGATTTTTCTTTTTAAGACCCGTAATAGGAAATGTTAAATGTTCAAGCATCCGAAATGCAGACTAGCTGTTTGCTTCTATTTTACTAACATTTTGGGGGGAAAGGAAAAAGGACAGTTGGGGCTTATGGGTATAGTTTCATTCGACTTAGGTACATGCTTAGAGCACTTTTGGGCTTTGCCCTAAATATCAGAATAAAAACAATTAATGCCATCCGCAACTCGTGGAGAGGACCCAGAAAAGTCCCAGGCTTTGTGCTCGCCGTTGTGGATTGGGAGCTAGGTCTCCAAAGAGGGGGTATCGAATGCAGAAAGTCCTAAAAAGAGCTTTCCAGAAACAAAACGGAATTTGCAGCCAAGAATCTCGATGTGGGGTCTCGCGTCCGGGATTCATGGGTGACTGGAGCCGTTTCAAGACGGCAGCCCAAGATCCCTCCCGGGACGAGAATGTCCTCGTGCTCTAGGTTTCCTGGACGTGAGTTTCGGTGCTGGGTTTCTCGTGATGGGGGTTGAAGGCGTGTGTGAATGTGTGTGGGCGTGCACGGACACACACGTTTCCACCTTTGCAATCAGACCTACATGCCATGGAAGCATGTATAAGGACATACATCCATCTAGTTTTGTTTTTTTTTTTTTCTGTACCTGTCATACATAAATTCTCATCACTCTAAAGAAATGTAAAAGAAAAAAAAATACCCCAGTTGGCTTGCCGTGTTCTTGCTTCCTGTAATTCCTACCCACAAAGAGGGGACAGCACAGGGCAGGTCCAGACTCACAAAGCTGTCTACACAGCTTAGCAGGCATCGCATCAGTGCAATCCTGAGCGGGGTTGGGTGTCCGTTAGGGGGTGTGTTTGCGTCTGCTGCCGTGTCTGCACTGTCCCGAGGAGATGGGCCCCTGTCGCCTTCCCGAGGAAGATGTGTTGTCGTCGGCGCCATTTGGAATAGGACGGATGGTAGACACGCGAATGTAGGTATGGGATTGGGGGATGAAAATCACCCAGGTGTAGGGCATCTGGGTGGCTCTGTTGGTGAAGCGTCTGCCTTTGGCTCGGGTCATGTTCCCAGGGTCCTGGAATCGAGTCCTGCACGAGGCTCCCTGCTCAGTGGGATTCCTGCTGCTTTGTCTCCCACAGCCTGCTTCTCCCCTTGCTTGTGGTCTCTCGGTCTCAAACAAATGAAATCTTTAAAGAGAGAAAAGAAAATCACCCAAGTGACAAGCAGAAATGGGTTAATGTTCAACCCAGTTAGAATAAGCACGTTGGAATCATCAGCCCTTGGAGGCCTATCTTTTGCAGGGGGAAGGGTAGGGCTGATACAGCAGAAGCATTTGATTGATTGATGGATTGATCCAATGATGACTGAGGTATGGCTGACCCAGAGTGTCAGATTAGTTCCAAGAGGGGAGCATAATGTCCTTAAGGAACCCCCCAGGCCACCAGGAAGGCATGCTTCCCTGCTAGAAAGAGGAGAGAAATGACCATAAGTTCCACTCTGCGTGCCTGTGAAGGGCGGAACAGATAGTCTGGACCCTGCTGTAAAAAGCAACACGCCCCTCCTCCTGGGCGCTGGAGTGTGCCTCGGGGGCCAGCCTGGACCGGAGCAAAGCGTGGAATCAAATTTCAGGCGGGGCGAGAGGATGGCGACCCCTGCGGGATCTGTGCTTTTATTTCCGTTTCCCTGCATGCGCTTGGAAAGCACTTCTGCTCCCCGCTCCCCAGCCGAGTATCCGTGGCCCCATGCACGGCTTTCCAGTTGCGGAGGGGGGAGGCGGGGTCCCAGCCGTTGCTGTGTGACTTGTAAAGTGGGAAGACAAAAATCACACACACACACACACACACACACACACACACACACGCACGCACACCCGAGTTAACATGTTGGAGTGGTAGCCTGCAGCGGCTCAGAATGTGACCTTATTTGGAAGGAGAGTCTGCAAAAGTCATCAGCTGAGGTCATCCCGGAGGACGGTGGGCCCTCGCCCCGTGGGGCTGGCGTGTCTGCACGAGAAGGGAGACGTGGACGGAGACATGCACGTGGGGAGAATGTGGTGCAGAGCTCACAGTGGAGCTGCCACCAGCCGAGGACCGGCCAGAAGCTGGGCGGGGGACCGGAGCAGACCGTCCCCTACCATCTTCTGCTGGAGTGCATCCCTGCTCTGCCCGGACCCTGGGCTTTTTGTCTCCAGAACTGAGAGACAGAGAGAATCTGAGTCTGTGGTCATAGCCACTGCGTTTGCAGAACTTGTCAGAGCCGCCCGAAGACATTCGTGAGTCCATGACTACATGCTGGGTATGTGGGTTCCTAATTTACAGGAAAGGACGGGGGACTCGTGGAGCTTCCTGAGGGACGTAGCCATGAGACTGGTCGGCATTCGTCTCCGGACGCTGAGGCTCCGTTCACAAGTTCACGGGCTGCCTCCTGCATTCGGAGCTGTGCAACCTGAAGCTGGCTAAACGACCTCTCTGGGCGTCCAGGTGCGCCATCTGGAGAACGGGCATCATCGTGGGCTCCGCGTCCCGCAAGTGGCGTAGGTCCGTGAGCTGATGTGTGACAAGCATTCCCGGTCGGGCCTCATGCATAGTGAGGGCTGCAGGTGAAATGAGGGGGAAAAGATACAAATAAACCTTTTTTTCTTAATATAAGTAGAATCAGGCTCATTGCAATACTTAGGATCTTTCTTAGACTCAGGTGAGAAGTTGACATCAGGACGTCAAAACTGCAGATACTAGCTCAAAACACAGAGTGTTCGAGAATGCAGGTTCCCCCCCAAAAGCCTGTTCTGTTTTCAGAATCTACAGGGCTGTAGCTAGGTGCAAGCCTTCCCAGATGAACTACACTTCCCAGCAACCTTTGCAGGTCATTATGGCATGTGACAGCTCCGGGCCTATGGCGTGCCACCTCGGTTTCTGGGTCAGCAGGACTGTCCTGTGTCCCCAAGCTCAGCACCGGTCAGTAGGACCAGCATCAGGAGTGGATGTGGGTTTGGGGAAGGAGCTGCTGTGTCACCATCCGGTTGTCCTGACGGAAGGAACTTTCTCCTGTGGGTCCTCATACCCCACCCATAAAAGGGCACCAGGTTCCAGGACTAAGACCACAAAGTCCTGGGGAACCAGCATGGTGAGTTACTTAACTGGTCTGCATGGTTCTCGCCAAGGTCCCTGAGAGACGCGACCTTCACTGTCCTTGCCACCAGGAAAGAAGGACTTAACTGTGTGCAGGGAAGGGAGGTGTTAGCTACCATGATGGTGGTCCTCCCGTTGCAATGTCAGCCTGTCACATCGTCACAGTGCACACCTGACATGCCCATCACGGTGCACACCTGACACATCACCCATCACGGTACACACCTGAAACTCCCATCACGATGCACCCCTGACACTCCCATCACGATGCACACCTGACACGCCCATCACGGTGCACACCTGACCCTTAACGGAAGGCTCTACGTCGAGGCTCTGAAACCCTCAAGCTGGAAAACAAAAACAAAGAAACAAAAAAATCCATTTTCTGATTTCCCCGCAAGCATTTTGCTTGGAGCGTGGGGGCTTCCCCATGCACAGATGACGTTGGCGTTGTCTTTGCAAAGACGCTCCCGTTTCTTTCTGTGACACATTCACTACAAATGCAACATTGTGAGATAGTTCATTACAAGTAAGAATTACATATATCCGCGGTATACGATATATACACAATGTATCTATATAGGAACACATAAAATGCTCAACAAAATAAAAAGAAAACCCCTCTATAAGCACAGGCACATTATCTATACTTTTATATACATATGGATGTGGTTTACTGATGGCTTTATGTGTGGCCTGACATTTTGAGATGCGTGATGGCGATATGGAATCCGACGTTCCAATTGCATTTTTTGTTTTTTTTTTTTTTTTTCCTGACTGCAATGAAGCTGTTCCGTTTTGGAGACTTCTTAACAGGGGATGTCTGCGCAGCATTTTTGTGTTTTCTATCAGATAATGCCGTGTAGATCAGGTTGCTTCTTGTTCCAGAGAATCCGAGCTTTTATGTGACCCCATTCATCATTTTCTTGAATTTCTTCCTTGTGAGTCGTCACCGGGTCTCATGCATTTGTCCCCAGTTTCAAGGACACAGCGTCCGTAGCCGCGTGACGTCTATCTGGAGCAAGGATTTACGGACACTGTGTTTGCTTATCGAATTTACTCATTTCTTGTTGGCATCCTTGGGCTTCTTAGAAAAACAGCTTTAGGTACCATTGAAGACGGGAATTTCCATTCACACCATTAATTTTCTGGTACATGTGAATCTCTGTTCAGTTGGACCTTGTTTTTTTCTTTGTTTGTTTGTTTGTTTTTATAAATCCTACTCAGATACTCAGAATCATAGCAAAATAGAATAATAATAATAATAATAAAATAAATTTTAAAAAAATACCCGGAACATCATCAAACAAATCATTGGAAGGGATTAATAACCTGTGAAAACGGGGTGCCTGGGTGGCTCAGTGGGTTAAAGCCTCTGCCTTCAGCTCAGGCCATGATCCCAGGGTCCTGGGATCGAGCCCCACATCGGGCTCTCTGCTCGGTGGGAAGCCTGCTTCTCCCTCTCTCTCTCTCTGCCTGCCTCTCTGCCTACTTGTAATCTCTGTCTGTCAAATAAATAAATAAAATCTTTAAAAAAATAATCTGTGAAAATTGGTCACTTTAGTATTGTTTCCAAAAAAATGTTATTCACTTCTTTTTGGTCAGGACCTAGTGATGGCACCCTAGTTTTGGGAAGTTTTAGGAAAAGCATACATCTATATTCTGACCCTGGTTTG